GACTTCAGAACTCATTAAACACTGTCATCACCACCTATGCCGACGACACGTATATCCTATCTGTTAATAAAAATTCATAAATTTCATGCCAAATTCTTCAATCACACATCATAATTCTTGAAGAATGGTGTCAAAACTGGGGAATAAAAATGTAAATCCCATCAAATTGCTTTTACTCTTCGTTATAAACCAAAGACTTCCTGACCTACAGTATTCTTTTTAACAATACTTATCCCTGTTGAACAAATCCGGTACCTATGACTCCAACAAGACAAACAACTCACTTGGAATCCTCATAACAGACTGAAACGACTCCAAATGGCCTGAAGTTTTCGACTAATGCAGCGCTTATAAACAAACGCTCTAAACTTCAAACTATTTAAAAATATTTTTAAAAATAGATATATATATATATATATAAACTATAATAATTCTATTTGGTCTTACAGGAACGAGCTTTGGCTTACGGAATTAAACTATCAATTCCTCTCGTATCCAATCCTTACAATCCAAAATCCTTCGTAAAATCCTCAATGCTCCCCACTTTGTCAAAAATAGACTCATCTATAACGACCTTAATGTACCTTATGTTTCCGTTTTAGCTCGATTCAGATACCTATCCTTCCATAATAAACTTTTGAACCATCTTGTTTCTAACCTAGCTTCCTCTTCTATTCCTGATAATCCTCCGTGGCGTCTGAAAAGAAGATGGCCTTGGGACCTTTCAATATATAAATATAATTGGAGTGCTAACAATAGGTAGTTTCTCTACATGTACATGTCATGTTACTAATTTCACATTTACTTCTATTTTTCATTTAATACGGTTGTAAATAAATCTCAATTAATAAAAAAAAACACAGAAAAAACAGAGTAATAAAATAGCTTTTGTATCATTGGCACATGAGAATCTTTGAATAAATAAAAAACTTTTTAAAAAATTAATAATTTAATTAAATAAATTTGATTTAAACTTATTAAAAAATTTGAATTAATTTATTTAATTATCCCCACACATATTATTACAGTAAGGCTCGAAACCGGTTTTGTACCAAATATAAGCTCCTGTCATGCTCAAATACCATAAATGGGGTACTGTTGGATTCAGAATTTCACTGGGGGTTAGCGAATCGTATTCTTCACTTTTGTTTTTCTTTCTAAAATAAATAAAGTCGATACAAACATTTTGCTAGGCTTCAACACTGGAACGATGGTAGGTCTGTAGATCGATTCGGGACAAATTGGGCCTTGAAGATTTTGATGCGTACAGCAAGACCCGGATTGTTCCTCTGGAACTACCGGATCCTGCGTTTTTAAGCCCAAAAACGTACTATTTTCGAGGTAACGCAAGGCATGGGGTTCGCATCCACACAACCTTACGTTAATTGTAGTCCTATCATTGAATACATGTCACATTTCGTCGACTTGAGGCCTCTATGATCAAGAGAGGAGGAGTTTATATTATTTATCGATGGTGTTTTTGATCGGCAAGCCATATCATCGATAATTCTTCACCAAATGTCAAGATTGAGCTACCAATTTCGAAGGAAATTTCCTTCAAAAGAAAAAAAAATCATCGAAATCGGACAGTTTTTAGCAAAGATACAGCATATTGAAATTTGTATATATATTGGTTCCAAACAAAAATAAAGATTTAAATTGATTTTTATTCCTTTGTCGATTAAATTTATCGATAAAATAACAATTGATTCCTTTATCTTTTGATACGTTGCATTATTTTATTTTCTTATTAATTTGGTATTTGAGAACAACATGCTGTGCGAATGTGCACGGGCCTACTAGTTATTTGTATTATTCATTTTATATAAATGTCAAGTAAAAACATTAAAACGGAATAATTAATAATAGAAATATTCAATTGATTTAAACTAATAAAATAAAATATGACAAATATTAGAATATGCAAACGATGATAATGCTAGAACATCAGTATCTAATAAAAATAAAATTCAAGATGTTCCAACAAATAGAAGAAATGTTCAAAGAGAAGAATTCTTATTTTTATTCTTTTTTTAAATTAATTAGTACCCTCTTCTATTATCCAAAACCTTTAAAGAAAAAATTTAAATGGCTGTTTAATATACATTCTATTTTTTTTTATTTTTTATAATACTCAACATGAGAAAAGATGGTCTGGACGGGAAATAGAATTTTAGATGGCTAGATAAAGCGGCTTGTAAATATGTATACATCATACATTTTTGTTATGATGCTAATTGGGGTATGAAATTGTTGGTCTCCGTGAATAACAAAAGAAACATAAAAAACACTGAATAAAAGTGTCTGAAGCGAAGAGAGAGGGTTTATGGATAATTGTTATCATATCGGCAATAAAACTCTGTGTTCTCTAAGTTTTGATATAATAACATCTAGGTGTTAGTTAAGCCAAAGTCGAATGAATTCGATCAACCTAGTATGAATAACTGATTAGCTAACTAGATTTGAAATAGTATGGCAGTTATGAAAGCCAAAACTAAAGCAGTGAGGGATATAATGATAGAACCAACCGTCTTAAAACTCTTAATAGATGAACTTAAAGTTCATTAAAAAATTAAGTGTTTCATAACGTAGAAAAACTTATAAAAAAATTCACGGCTTTATGAAAAACAAAACTTACAGTCTAGTTGCTTAAAAGTCTAAATTGCTAAAAGGAAACAAAGTCAACTTGGATTTGAGATAAATTTAGTCTAGTTTACTACGAAGTAATGGTTAATGACCAAAATTAAATATTTTTAATTAAACATCAAATCAATACGAAGAAATTTCTAATTGATTTATATCGAATCCTATTTAGTTGTCAATGAAATTTTAGAATCATTGGAACAAATCCAAAAGATCAAAAATGTTCATTGAAAGGACAAATTAAACTTTAAAATTGTATCACCTACAACAGTTGCGGATCCAGGATTTCATTTTGGGGGCCTTCACCTGGAAAGCTTTATATATATAAAATGATAATTACTTTGGGACAAAAAGAAAAATACTAACTACCTATATAAAATGGTGATTAAGAGATTCTTGAAGTCCTATTAAATGTAATAACACGAACAATAATACTTTAAAGATTAATTTTTAAATGTTTTTATCATGAAATTGTATACCATTTTGGGGGAAGTTTCAGCCCAAAAGCCCCCTCTCATCCCTCCCCCCGTAGATCTGCCTGCGAACTACTAAGAACACCAGCAATTTCATAGTTCGAATCGATTTTTCCTTGGAAATTCTATATATATATATATATATATATATATATATATATATATATATATATATATATATATATATATATATATATATATATATAAAATCTTAAATATCTTGATTAATTTTATTAAATTATATACAGCATCATTTTTATAGAGATTTTAAATTGTCCTTATTCTTCTTCCCCATTAAATCTTAACGAGAAAAACATTGGTGCATTTATTAGTGTTGGAAGAGTAATGAACAATTTCTGACGTTATTTCATTTTTTGATGTTCTTTTCATTTTTCATTTTTTTTGGGTCAATAACTAATTTTATTGTATTATTTTGTAGAATATTCTCGAGTCTAACACGACACCGGTTCGATAAAAATTTATTGCATGGCGTACCGACATAATGAATCTTGACCTTCCCACTATTGCTAGAATAGTACCTCTGGAATAACCCCTCGTATGTCAGAAATGACGAGGTAGCGGTATTGAAAAACAAATATGAATATATCTTTTTTATATGACTCATTTTTAAAAATTAAATTCTATAAAAATAGAATAATCAGTGGATCATTAGCGATAATTATCCTTGCTCACTAATAAATACCTTCTTAGCTCACCTCTCGGACAAGAAGAACTGACTGCCCGGAAACATTTACAAGAGGCAATACAATCCCCTCCTCCCCCTCTTCTCTTCGGGAGGGATACGGTTCGAAAAGGGAAAACTTTCCGGCTAAAAACGCTAACTCCTACCTGCTTTCCCTATATTACATTTATTAGATACTCAATAACACAACTCCCAAAGAACGCAGGGAAAACCGTTCTGTTTTATGCAAGCGATTCTCGAAGGGATCCTCTGATTTCCTATACCTTCAGAACTTGTTAAAAAGTTTCAGGGATACCACAAGGCAACTGTATTTTCTCCTCTTATACTACGTAATGTGATATAGGTTTTTTCAAACACCTTATTTCCATTAGAATGAGATTTAACCGTTATAATGCAGACATAAAATACATACAAGTTAGATTAATTTAAAAAAAATCAGAATAAATTGAATTCATAATATTAAGTACGATAATATATATAGAATTTCCAAGGAAAAATCGATTCGAACTATGAAATTGCTGGTGTTCTTAGTAGTTCGCAGGCAGATCTACGGGGGGAGGGATGAGAGGGGGCTTTTGGGCTGAAACTTCCCCCAAAATGGTATACAATTTCATGATAAAAACATTTAAAAATTAATCTTTAAAGTATTATTGTTCGTGTTATTACATTTAATAGGACTTCAAGAATCTCTTAATCACCATTTTATATAGGTAGTTAGTATTTTTCTTTTTGTCCCAAAGTAATTATCATTTTATATATATAAAGCTTTCCAGGTGAAGGCCCCCAAAATGAAATCCTGGATCCGCAACTGTTGTAGGTGATACAATTTTAAAGTTTAATTTGTCCTTTCAATGAACATTTTTGATCTTTTGGATTTGTTCCAATGATTACATTTGTTCCACATCCAGGGCTCTGCAACCGAGGAGGCAATCCCCTGACGTTGCGAGGATAGGATAAGGTAAGACCGCCAAGAATGATAGGGGGACAACCCCTACACATCCAGGGCTCTGCAACCGAGGAGGCAATCCCCTGACGTTGCGAGGATAGGATAAGGTAAGACCGCCAAGAATGATAGGGGGACAACCCCTACACATCCAGGGCTCTGCAACCGAGGAGGCAATCCCCTGACGTTGCGAGGATAGGATAAGGTAAGACCGCCAAGAATGATAGGGGGACAACCCCTACACATCCAGGGCTCTGCAACCGAGGAGGCAATCCCCTGACGTTGCGAGGATAGGATAAGGTAAGACCGCCAAGAATGATAGGGGGACAACCCCTACACATCCAGGGCTCTGCAACCGAGGAGGCAATCCCCTGACGTTGCGAGGATAGGATAAGACCGCCAAGAATGATAGGGGGACAACCCCTACACATCCAGGGCTCTGCAACCGAGGAGGCAATCCCCTGACATTGCGAGGATAGGTAACCCTACACTCCCAGGGACAACCTGGAAGATGCAAGGGGGACTGTAGGAAAACAAGGGCCAACCAAGTTATTCCTACGAAAGGAGAAAGGAGGTAGGTTAGGAGAGAAAAGAGAAGGAGGAAGGTAAAACCAAAAAATAACACATTGGTCTGGTTTCAAACTGTCAGACAGAGAGATACCAGGAGCCTATGTGAGAAGGTAGTGACTCGGGAGAGAGTGCCTGCCCTAGGGGCCAGGCTGCTATTTATACTAATAGTGAGCCCTCAGACCTGTGAGAGACAACACTGGTAACAATTATTTTAATTAGGCCCTGAGATCTCTAAGTCCAAACTCCTTTTATTTTTATTTAATTATATTTCATGAATACTTATTTTAAAAATATTACAAACATTAGTTATTTACAAAAGCATTAATTACAAAAGGAAATAATAAATAGTTTTAAAATGAAATATATAGTTCACTAGGCAATTAACAGGTTGCGCTACTAAAATTATTAATCATTATTAGAAAAACAATGACTTGTATAAATGAATAAAATAGTTCATTAGAACAACGCCTAGAGGGCGCCACGCGCATCCTCCAAAACACCATACCACTAGTCATTTACAATTCAACCTTTGACAGAGAAGGACCTCCCGTCCGTTAGCTCTAATACATTGTACCTTTTAATCTTTATCACTAGTTAAATGTTATTATTGTTTTTACAATTAAATCATAACTAAAATTAATACAATATCTAGAAATAAATTAGAATTTATAAATATATTACATATAAATACTTCTTTTCACACAGTTTCAAAATAATAAATGAACAAAACATGAACATGCGTTCTATTAACAATTACAATTTATAAAGGCCCTAATAAAATATGTTACAATATATATATATATATATATATATAGAGAGAGAGAGAGAGAGAGAGAGAGAGAGAGAGAGAGTGAGAGAGTGTGTCTATTTTCATTTTTTTTTTTCTGATATTTCGGAACTATAACTCTTTCTCTTGAAAGTTTTTGTGTAAAGGTTTTACAGAACTTTAATTTAAAAGTTGTTTCGCCAAAAAGTAAATCTACAAAATGACTTTTATTCTTAGCTACCCAAAAAAATTACACATTTTACACCGAAAGTGTTAAAATGGGACTTTTAAAAAATGTTTCAACCTGTAGAATATACTAGGTAATATAAGGGGACTTCAACGGAAGTCTTGAGCCAAACAGAAAAATATAAAATTATATATATATATATATATATATATATATATATATATATATATATATATATATATATATATATATATATATATACATATATTATTTTATATATTATTTTATGTATGTGTCATATTGCTAATTTGTACAAATGCATAAACTTACCCGTATGTAATTATTTTTTAATTCATATGTCTATTTCAAGATCATATGTTTACTGCAGTGTATTAATTTTTAATATTAAGAATTTTTATTATTATGAAAAATTTACATGATTCTTTATTTTTATATTACGATTAGACAAATTTGTAAAATAATTTATTTTTAATTGTCATTTAATTATTCACATTCGCTAGACAATTGTCAATTCTCTGTTCATTGTAGTTATTCTGAGGGGACTAAATATCCCAGAATAAAATTTACTTTCGTATGGCATCTTAAACAATATTTATTTTTAGAATATCCTTTCGCCAGCCCTTCCCCCTTTAATAATTTAAAGAAAAAAATATTAAAATTAATAACAAATAAGCTACGTTATTTCATACATAAGAATGAATAAAATAAGTACGCTAAAATCGATTAAGAAAATTTGACTAGCACGTAAGTATTTTATTACGAAATAATATTTATATTATTTGAATTTTTATATATCCTTGAATAAATTAAAATTGAAGACGTATCCTTAGATTAAGGTGATTAATATGTTGAAGCGTGGAATATGGTGTATTTATGAATGTAGGTTTTTACTGTTGGAATGTTCATGGTGCTGTGTATGGTGTGACTTGAAATATACCAGGGTGCATTTACGATTTTTCGAAGTATTTTGGACTGTACAGTCGGTATTTTGTTTGTGTGGACGTGTTTGGCGGAACTACTAAGTTATGCTCCGTATGTCCAAATAGGTGGTGTAGATTAGTCGTTTTTTTTTTTTTTGTAAGTTGAGAGAGGATCTATATTTATTTAAATATACAATATTTTTTTTCTTTAAAAAATAATCATATTAAATTTGTACACATGAACTACTGCCTTTTTTTTTTTTTTTCTAAACTCTGCAACTATGATTGTAATATAGAGACAGACAATATCCTTATAAACGAATAAGGATCGATTGATTGAAACTGTAGCGATGACGAATATACGTATGATGTGTCAGCCACAAATACATACATCGTAATGGGGAAAGTTATTATTTTCATAAACTAAAATAATTAGTAGAAACTAACTTTGGTCTCAATTATTAACTTCTGAAAAAACTTTTCTTTCTTCCCAAATTTTCTTCCTTTATTGAGTAATACAGTATTATCCCCAAACATATTAGGAACATTCGTTAGCCGTTCTCCACCCTTTCTGCCTTGTGTCTTAATTGAATGAATAGAAAAGTTATCAGTTGATTACATTGAGTAATATTACCTAGAGTAAGTGATTACTCCGAGGCTAACATCACCTGATGCCCGGGCTAAATTATGATTTATTTCTTCCTTAATGGATGGTCCCTGCAAGGCAACCCTCTCACCCGCCCCTCAACTGAGAAAAATCCGTCACACATTGATTCATCAATCAATATATATATATATATATATATATATATATATATATATATATATATATGTCTATTGTTTATTATATTATTATTCCATCTAATGGTATTTTATTAGTAATTATACCTGATGTATGATTTTGATGGGAGTTTTAATAGAGGGGAACGAGCAGGTGTAGATTGTTGGTGTTGATGATAAAAAACAGTTGTAACAAATCCACAAAATAAACAAACAATAATAAGCAAATTTTTAAATATTATATATAATATACGTTGGTCATTTATAATATAATGATTTTTTTTTTAATGATTTTAAAATAATTTGTTTTATATATTATATCTTTGAAAATTTTAGGAGTATATTTTAAATTAAAAAATGCTTTTTAATATATAAAAAAAGGCGGATAGTAATCTCGATGAAGGAGGATCATCCTCGGGTGACCTATGATTTTAAATCCAAATTTGAAAAAAAATCGGTCCAGTAGTTTTGGAGAACATGCGCGGACGGCGGACGGATAAAAAAAATTTTATTCGTTTTTCGAATTTTACATATCTTGAAGCGTAAAACCTCAAATTTTGAAAGGGGGTTAAGTTTTTGAATTTTTGTTCGGTTACAATGATTCATTATTTTAAGGTTTCGACCCAACTATGCAGGTCTTCTTCAGTATCTTGACTTTTTTTTCATCTAAATCCGAGTAATAAGATTTTTCTTTGACCAATTTAAATAAATTAATACTTTTTTTTTATAAGTAATATACAAGTATTGTATGGTTGATGTTAAAAATCTAATACTTCAATGAAATCTAAATCCTCACCCCTCTTTTTCCAAACATTAAAAAAATTAAGGCCCATAATACTTTAAAGATATTTCCATTTTTTTTAAAACTACTGATACTATATACATCGATATTTTTGTTAGAAATTTAGGTATTGTAGTACATTTATATATAAATATTTTTTAAAATATTTATATTCGTACTCCAGTATATTCGAGTTGGAATTCGCTCTTTGGCGGGGAGCTTGACTTTTATTTCGTGGCGGACACGTGTAATAAATTTCTACTTTCATACCCTAGCTAGAATAGGTGGGCAACCTGTAGGATGACACGGCATCCCACTCTGCTTGGATTATTAAAAAAAAAGACAAAATATTTTCTGCAACCAATACAACATGGATGTAGGTACTCCAAATTAAAAAAAAAGAGTACTCCAAATTTCTTTGCGTTTCTTACAGTTAAACAATGCACGACCCATGATTAAATACATTAGGTTCTATTGAATACATTAGGAAATAGCAGACAACGAAAACAACTAATAATAATATAAATAAAATTGTAAAATTTAAATAAAACAATTGCATCGAGCCGTTTATCACAGCAAAAAAATTTGATAAAATTAAATCTCCAAGGAGTGAAAGTTTTTAATATATTTTATGAAAATTGACATCTCAGATTTTTATTGCCATTTTTATTAGCATATAAAATGAATTAAACACAACTATTGTCGAATGTTTTCTATAGCGTTGAATTAAAATCTGAACTCTATTCAATAGTGGATGAATAGTTATTGGGAAAAAATGGGTTAAAAAAGAGGGAGACTCTTTGTGAGAAAATTCGAATTTATTCATAATTAATTTCAATAAGCCCAACGCCACGACGGAGGAGCTAGAGGAAGATGAAGAGGAGACAATAATAAAACCAACTTTAATAAAACTTGTTCAATTAAAAGTAATGAGTAATAACCAGAATAAAGCAATGAAAATCGTTAAATGTTATTTTTAAAATGAAAGTATATCAATTTAAAGTTGTTTTTTCAGCAATCTCGAATATGAATCTCTATATCAATTACATATTAATGTACTTGATTATCCTGTTTATGACTGAAATGTGTTTGGGTTACCGAAAGATCTTTATGTGTGAAAAAATAACTAATTTTGTAGCATTCAAATTAAAGAAAAGTTGACAAGCTTAGCCGCAGGAGGATGTACGGGGGAGGGAGGGTGGATGCTTATGGGGACAAACCTCCCCCCTTTCTTCTTCCAAAACGGTAAAATATAGCCACGTCTTAAAAAAAATGTTAAAACATTATCTCTAAAAGAATTATTGTTCGTGTAATTACATTTAATATGACTTCAATAATCACCAGTTCGTATAGGTACTTAGTTTCTTTCTTTTTCTTCAAAGTAATTATCGTTATAATTATTTATATATATATATATATATATATATATATATATATATATATATATATATATATAAACTTTAGAGCTGATGCCAAATATCTTAGATCCGCAAGTGAGCTTAGCTACCGTTTTGTAATCTAAACCCTTACTACTTTAAAAATCTTCAGTTCTGATTTTAAGTTAGATATTTTTTTTTTCTGGAAATCGAGATATAAGATAAAAATGTAAGTTAAAGAATGTTAAACAGAAATTCTCTCTTAGGTTTAGCTTTAGTCATTTTTGAGTAAAATTAGAGCCGTAGATTTTTTTAGAGATACAATTTTTAAAGAGAGGTATAATGTTCTTATACAAAATGAGAAATGGCGGGGTGAGAGTATTTTCAATGAAAAACAAAACCTTTTTTTTTATAACGTTCCTTTCGAAAAATTTTAATCTTTTAGATCGGGAATTTTCTCATACTTGTATTTGTTTGATAGACCAAAAACATAGAATGCTTGGATCTTCTGGATGGTGGTAAATCATTTATATCTTGATGACTCAAAAAAACGAACACATTTTGTATTTAACATTTTTTTTAAAAAGTTACCTTTAAAAATGAAGATACGATATCAAAATACTTTTAGATCTATATGGCCCCTATAAAAGGATAATA